AATACAGTTCTTTTGGATCCGATTATAAAGACACAAAGCAGTACAATGATACGAAATAGCGTACAAAACAACAATACAATTAAAAAGCAGTATGGAATAGTGATAAGAGATGTGGTACAATAAAAGATAGTGTTACCACCTCTTGTACTTGTGGCTGTTTATAGTGTAAAACCGATCCTTGTTCACCATTAATAAATTCTCACTATTGCAGAAACACAAAAAAAAGAAGAAAAGAAATAAAACTATTGATGTTGATCAACTCCAAACAGGTTTACCACAAGCGTCCCAAAAATTAATCAGTCTAGTCCGCAACCGGTTTAGTCTCAAGTTCCCCTACCATGCAACTACGGAACGCCTTAGAGAAGGTAGAATATTACCCCCAAACGAAAGAAGGCCTCATACGATCTATAAATATGGGCCCTAAAATATAAATCCATTATCCAAAGATCCACGTTATGTCACTTGAATCCAATAGAGTGCATTTGCAACAATCCATATCACTTTCCATCGCTTCTTTCTTCCGCTTTCTCTCCTCTTATCGAGTATTCAAATCCATCTACATTTTGCTTATTTCATATATCCAAAGATTTTTGAACACATTAATTATGTATAATTGATAAATGTATTTTGATCATATCCATAAAAGGGTTTCGTCATTCAAAACCCCAAAGTGAATAAATAATTTACAGATCAATCCCTTTTCACTTGTAACCAATTTAATCACACCATTGAAACCTAATCGCTGTTCATTGACCAGTCTGCACCAACCACGAGTTATTCAACTGTGAAACAGCCGTCTCCCTAAAACTCTTCACCTTCACCAAACAGAAATGGGTACAAACCGTACCCATACCCGATCCGACCCGGGTCGTTTTCAACAAATAACAAACCGGTCCACAATCCGTTCCTCTTCCCTGCGCCACTATCCCCCACGCGCTTGTTCCTTCTCCACACGCGCCACCGTTAAAACCATCGTAATCATCATCTCCTTCTTCCGAATCATGATCTGCCACAGCTACGTCATCGTCGGCGAGTTTCTCGACGAATATAACTCCCTCCGGCGTTTTCTCTTCTCCTCTACCCCATTTCCCTTCCATCGCCGGCCAATCCTCCGCCTCTGGATTCGTCGCCGTCGTTGTTATCAAACCTCCGTTCGCCTCCGCGTATAAATGCACCAATAACGGCGATTCTCTTAAATTCTTCACGATCTCAACCACAGAATCCCTCAACCACTCGTCGAGTTTCTCCCTCGACACGACGGATCCGCCGCGTTTCCTTTCGCCGATATTCGATCTCTCAATCTTCACCGCCTGCTGTGACGAAGATCCCAAATCTCCCATCGTCATCGAAACTTTCCCGATCTCGCACCAATTCCGTCGATTAACCACCGGAACTACACACGCCGATCGAGAAATCACAGTACGTCGATCACAACGAACGGCACACGTACT